CAGAAAGGTCGGCAGTTCGGCGGTTCGAATCCCTAGTGTCACGTAAGGGAGGGAGCTCCTGTGACTTGTCCCAGCTTCTGCCAACCTAGCAGTTCGAAAGCATGTAAAAATGCAAGTAGAAAAATAGGAACGACCTTTGGTGGGAAGATAACAGCGTTCCGTGTGCCTTTGGCATTGAGTCATGCCGGCCACATGACCACAGAGATGTCTTCAGACAGTGCTGGCTCTTCGGCTTTGAAACAAAGATGAGCACTGCCCCCTAGAGCTGGGAACAACTAGCACATATGTGCGAGGGGAACCTTTACCTTGAAGTATTCAAAGTATCCATCTAAAGTCTTCAAAGACAGGATATAAACTAAAAATCAAGATAACAACTCATAAGTCCAGAAAATAGATGCCATTTGCAAGGGTCCCAGCCTCCGTTTGACAAGGCAGAAGAGTCCTTCCGCAGATCAATTCTTTCCATCTAAAAGACTGAAAATGATCAATGTGGATCTTGTTATTCCAGCTTAGTGAACAGGGTTTTGAAATTCCCACGAGGATGCGATGCGAGGGCTCCCTGACCATCCGCTCTACTGAGTGGTTATCTCAGTGCTTTCCTTTGGAAAGGCTGAAGGCTGCTGACTCCTCCTCGGATGGGTGGAATCTCCCAGGCTCCCAACTGCTATTTTCCTTCCCAATTAGGTCATGAAGGCTATTAATGAGGGCTTTCGACTCCCTGCCCCCCTGGAGTGTCCTTCCGCCATCTACCAGCTGATGATGCGATGCTGGCAACAAGAGAGAAGTCAGCGGCCTAAATTCACGGACATCGTTAGCATCCTGGACAAGCTCATCCGCGCTCCGGAGTCGCTCAAGACTTTGGCAGAGTTTGACCCTCGGTAAGTCTTGTTCTCAACTCCTTGTACCTTTCTGGTGGTTTCGGAACATTTGTCTATGCTTCTGCACCTTGACCTAGAACAGTGGTTCCCAAACTTGGCAACTTTAAGACTTGTGGACTTCAACTCCCAGAATTCTCTGGGAGAGCTGGCTGGAGAATTCTGGAAGTTGAAGTCCACAAGTCTTAAAGTTGCCAAGTTTGGGAACCACTGACCTAGAAGTATGTATGTGAGAACAGGCCCAGAAATAAGAATGCCATGTTCACATCCCGAAATCCCCAGCCCTATTATTCTGACCCAGGCTTCCTTAAAAGGAAAGAAACAAGAGTCTTGGTCCAGGCAAAACCCCTTTTATTGACACAACTGTGAATTCCTTTCATTCACAGTCAGCAAGGTTTAGTAAAACAATCTTTCAGAGGAATGTTTATCCACACGAACCTTATCTCGCTCGGAGAGCTGCCAAATAACTAGTTTCCAAACTCTTATAGTCACACACAGAACTTTCCACTCTTGAAACGACCGAAGGAACGAATTGTTTCCTGCAAAAGCCCCCTCCCCATTC